AAAAAAAAATTTCGGACTTTATCTTATCTTCATGGTGAAAATGGCTACCGAATGCTATTTTTGTGTGAAAATTTTCGATTTTGTATTTTCCATTTTTAACTTTATTATGCTATAACTTTTTGAAAAATGTATGAATCATTACAATTTTTTTATGAGAAGTAGTATTTATATAGATCTTTCATTCGACATACTGTTTTTTTAAATCGGACCATTTCCCTAAATACAGGGGGGATTCAAAACATAAAAATGCATATAGAAAGTAGAACTTTTTCAACGTAACTTTTGAAAGTGTTCCGGAAGGTCTGACACTTTTATATATATCTTAAATTAAAGCTAATGTAATATACTTTATAATGGTAAAAAAAAATTTCGGACTTTATTTTATCTTCATGGTGAAAACAGACATTAAACTTAATAAAAAAAATACGATTTTTGTAAAAAAATTCTTTTTTATATTTTTAACTTTATAATGCTATAACTTCTCGAAAGATATATGGATCAATATAATTCTTTTTTTTGTAGATGCATGATGTCTTTACCTATCATTTGGTATATTTTTTTTATAAATCTGACTTTTGACCTGCCTACAGGGGGGGATTCAAAATGACAACTTTTTCACAAAAAATTGAGTTTTTCAACTTAAATTTTGAAAGTGTTCCGGAAAGTCTGACACTTTTATATATATATTAAATTAAAGCTAATGTAATATACTTTATTATGGAAAAAAAAAATTTCGGACTTTATTTTATCTTCATGGTGAAAATGGCTACCAAATGCTATTTTTGTGTGAAAATTTTCGATTTTGTATTTTCCATTTTTAACTTTATTATGCTATAACTTTTTGAAAAATGTATGAATCATTACAATTTTTTTATGAGAAGTAGTATTTATATAGATCTTTCATTCGACATACTGTTTTTTTAAATCGGACCATTTCCCTAAATACAGGGGGGATTCAAAACATAAAAATGCATATAGAAAGTAGAACTTTTTCAACGTAACTTTTGAAAGTGTTCCGGAAGGTCTGACACTTTTATATATATCTTAAATTAAAGCTAATGTAATATACTTTATAATGGTAAAAAAAAATTTCGGACTTTATTTTATCTTCATGGTGAAAACAGACATTAAACTTAATAAAAAAAATACGATTTTTGTAAAAAAATTCTTTTTTATATTTTTAACTTTATAATGCTATAACTTCTCGAAAGATGTATGGATCAATATAATTCTTTTTTTTGTAGATGCATGATGTCTTTACCTATCATTTGGTATATTTTTTTTATAAATCTGACTTTTTACCTGCCTACAGGGGGGGATTCAAAATGACAACTTTTTCACAAAAAATTGACTTTTTCAACTTAAATTTTGAAAGTGTTCCGGAAAGTCTGACACTTTTATATATATATTAAATTAAAGCTAATGTAATTTACTTTATTATGCGAAAAAAAAATTTCGGACTTTATTTTATCTTCACGGTGAAAATGGCTACCGAATGCTATTATTGTGTGAAAATTCTCGATTTTATTTTTTAAATTTTTAACTTTATAATGCTATGACATATTGAAAAGTGTATGGATCAACATTATTTTTTTATGAGAAATAATATTTTTTAATAATCCCTTTTTCATTCTACATACTTTATCTTAATTAGGATATTAATAATGAACTAGCAGATAATGTAGCTTTTGGAATAGTCCACCAATTTTTTAAAATTAAACACTATCTAAAGATTTGCATCGAAGCGTTTTTTTTTGATAGTGATTTTAATCACTGTCAGATATCATTATACTTTATCCATCTATACCACGTCACCACTGTGCCACGACCCCCCTGTGCTGTTTTTTTTTTATGTTTATACCTTATACCTTATAAGGGTGTCAACTTTAAGTTTTTAAATGGTAACATACTTGCTTATTTATTAGATAATGATCTAATGAAGAAATTGACTGGTTGGTTAATTATGAGTATTGTAATTTAAAAATTAAAATTGCACCCTTATAATGTATAAGGTATAAACATAAAAAAAAACATAGCAAAGTGGGGACGTGGCATAGTTGGGTCCTGTATAGATTTAATCTGACAGTGATTAAAATCACTATCATAAGAAACGCTTTGATGCAATATGTATTGATATGTAGATAGTGTTTAATTCTAAGAGATTGGTGGATAATTACAAAAGCAACATCAACTTCTATTTCCTTAATTATATCCAGATTAGTATGCAGAACTGAAATAATTTTAATGATTTACTTTAACTAAAAAAACCAATGAAAAAAAAATTGTTAAAAATTGAGCAAATGATAAATTTTGATTATAACTGTAAAAATTGATTGTTAAATTCAGGTGAAACTAAAAATCATTCTTTTTTTAGATTTATATAACAACATGTTTCAAAAAAATTTGGAATGTTATAGACTGTTAGTAGCACACACAAATAAAGTTAAAAAATTAACAAATTACAAAGTAAAATTATTTGCTTTTGTAGTTGAATACTTTTATTATATCAAATCTAATTTGACAACAAATTCTTTAAAATTATTAGAAACGAATGATTTTAATTGTTTGTTAGGATAAAGCTGTTTAAGCTACTTTTCATTTGATTAAGAGATTTTTTTTCCTGAGCTACTGAAATTTTCAATTTTTGAGGGTAATATCTTCAACAAAACACGCACTGTATTCATTTGATATATTGTTAAAAAAGTAGGTTAAGTAAGGGTTGGAAAAATAAATTGCAGCCACAAAAAAAAAAAACAATTAGTAAAATAATATTAACAAGAATAAGAAATTTCTTCTCATGAGGGGAGACTACAATGATGGGATCCTTGATATTTATTGAAGTTAATGAATCTAAATGAGATAAAAATCAAATGATTTTAAGATTTTTCTAACTTAAAAAAATGCAAAATATTAAATGTCACAGGCGGATTCGAACCTGGTACCCTAACCATGAAAGACACAAGTGTTACTGATTCGGCAACTGTTAGTCGATAAATATAATTGTCAATTTAAACTAATTCAAATTTTAAAGTTATTTTTTTCGCCTTAAAAAAAGCAAAAAAATTTAAATAAGTTTAACTTTTTATGTCTTATGAACTTTATTCTAAATAATAATATAAGCTTTAATTTAAAATTAAATAAAAGTGTCAATATTACTGGAATATTTTCAAAAATTACATTGAAAAAGCTTAACTTGTGTGCGAAAATTGTTTTTTTGAATTTGCCCTTCTGGTCGGTTTAGAGTCAGATTTTCAAAAAAATTATATCAAATGAAAGAAAAATATCTAAGGTTTCAATATAATAAAAATAATTTTAATTTGTTCATTTTCAAAAAGATATAGTAGTTTTAAGTATTAAAATATTTCATGTTAAACAGAGATTTTTACATAAAAATTACATTTTTCCTTAAATTCGACAGAGCCTTTTTCCTATAGAAGAAAAGGTGTCGAGATAAATTTTTTTTTTTTTTAACTTATAGTATTTATTGTAAGCTTTAATTTGATGTATGTTTAAAGGACGCAGTATTTCCGAAACATTTTCAAAAGTTAAGTTGAAAAAAATCTACTTTTTATATGTATTCTTCAAGTTTTGAAAGCTCCCTGTATAAAGGAAAATTATCCAATTTACATAAAAAGTATGTTAAATGAAAGAAGTATATATAATGTATTTAGAAAAAAAAAATTGTGCTCATACATATATTATTCAAAAAGTTATAGCTATTTAAACTTGAAAATATAAAATTTTAAATCGAAAATTTTAACACAAAAATAGCATATTTTTACACTACAGTAGTCAATGGCACATTAAAGATAAGGTGTCGGGAAAATTTTTTCTTTTTTATTTTATAGTATATAACATAAGCTTTAATTTGATATATGTTTAAAGGATACAGTATTTCCATATCTTTTTCAAAAATTAAGTAGAAAAAGTTAGTTTTTGTAAAAAAGTTGCTATTTTTACCCTCTCCCCCTATGAGCAGGTTAAGTGTTAGATCTTCAATAAAATGACATCAAATGAAAGGGAAATATCTAAGGTTTTAATATAAAAAAAAATTATGAGCTGAGAAAAAGTAGCAACAGACAAAAAAAAACACATCATGGTAAAATTAATACCTTCTCAGCTTCGCATAAAAGCTAAAACTATGTTGAAAAATTGAGAGAAATGTTGAAATAAAAGAAATAAATAAAAAGTTAATATTATTTATATTTTTCGATTAATTAATTGATTTTTTATAAGTGAATCATTCTGTATATATAGTACCTTTAATTCTAGTAGCCACGGTTGATATTTTGCACCTATTACAGTAGGTACTTCAACAGGTTCAATGAATGGTTCCCAGAGTGCTAATCTACTGTTATAATAATTCATTTGCATAGTTAATTCTCCAGCAACATTTAGCTACAAATTTAAAACAAAATTATACTTAATGAAGTATTTATAATTTAGTGTAAAAAATATTGTCGTTACTCTTGAACTCCAATTTATAATAGAACCATTAAATGAACATTCAGTTAACAACATTGGCATGGTTTTATTGCCTATTCCAGCCTCAATTGTAAATACAATAGATGGAATAGATAACAAGCACATTTCACTTTTATTTACTATAGAACATTTTTTATCATTTTCTGAAGAACATGTTTCTAATCCAACATCTGCAAATTGGTATTGTTTAATTAACATAGTATTACTATATAGAAAATATATAATTCTTTATTTTTTATTATATCTATTTAATATATTTTTATTTTTTAAATAAAAAACAGAAAAATAAAAACAAATTTTGTTTTTATCAAAATCATTCTTTACAGTATGTGTTGACAATATATTTTTATTACATCAAATTAAAAAATAATTATTAATGAAAAAAATGTAAAATTATTTTTAAAAAATCATAAATAAATGTACCTTTTTTTAAAAACCAAAATTCATTTTCATTAAATGGTGTCTTATTCCATAAATCTACATATTTTTCTTCATCATATTTTTCTTCAACACATTCATTTTCTTTACTTTTCATAAATGATTTATTAATTCGGTTTAGCATTTCAATATTAGCTAAATAAAGATATGTAACATATTTTTGATATTCATTAAAATTAAGCATTACAACTAACAAATATTAACTAAAAATTACCTGGAGTTACTGAAATAATTAAAGGTGTCATATTGATGTCAATATTAAGACAAGTATCATCAGGAGTTGAGCCATTAACATTTATAGTAACTGGACGTAGAATCTAGTTGAAAATTATTTTTAAAAATAGTTAAGTTAAAATTATTTCAGAAACCCAAAAATGAAAACATGATTGAAGTTCAAATGATTATATGAAAATAGATATACAGTCTTATTTAGTAACTTTTCAAGATAATCTAACCTTGATACTTGATGAGTTATTGTATTAAATTACGTATCTATTTCCAAATAACCACAAATTTAATTTAAGTAATGCTTTTAATTTTAGCACTTGAAGGGATTTTAAAATGATCAATTCAATTTACAAACTGAAAAGTAATTGATCATAATATGATCAAAGACTAAGGTGAAAGATACAGCTTATAAATCAGTTAAAAAGTTCATTAACAATTATAAACCAGAAAAGGGTGCATAGAAGATAACATAAATGGAGTATACAGGGTGATTTTTTTATCATAACCCACTCAATTACTTACAGAATAAATATAATTTAAACATTTTTTTTTTTTTTGGTTATCTTTAGTTACACATTATTCTTGAATTATTAACTATTATATTATAAAACTTTTTATGTTCATCCCTTATGCCTTGTAAGGGTGTCAACTTCGTTTTTTTTAATGGGAACACATATTTTGAATTTAATAAAATGTTTGAGTTTTTAATTTAATAGTAAATGGCATTTGGATTTTTAGTATAACTTTATTTGTTTATTAGATATAAACACTTAAAGTTTCAAATTTTTGAGTTAATATACATGTTTAATACACAAGGGTTTACAAATACAGGTAGCTAATTGATTTTTATGACATCAATATTAGCAGGTACACAGCATTGTTATTATCAATGGTAGTAAGGCACATTGTTATGAGTTTATAAATACACTAACTGACAATACAGAAAGTATATCTATTGATAGTCATAATTGATAATAAACTATCCGTGACTGGGACAGTAGGGTGGTCCTTAAAATACAATTTTTCAAAATTCGATTTACGCGCACCAAAAAATTGTTCTAATACATGTAAAAATAAACTGTGCAAAATTTGGTACCGATAGGTTGATGTTAACACGTGCCGCAGGAGGGTTGAAAATTTGATCAAAAGGGTAGTTTTTCAGTTATTGTGCTTTATCTCAAAATATATGATTTTTACGTAAAAGTTTATAAGAAAGAAATTATACATATAATTATTTTACATAAAAAAGGTTATTAGCAAAAAACTCATAAGTCAAATATTTACCTCCTAAAAGTCAAAAGTTCCATAAATATTATGTTTACCAGTAAAATTCATATATTTCGGCAATTTAAGTATATACGATGAACCGTTCAAGTTATAAAAAAAATTTTCATGTAAAAGTTATTTGAAATTTAATTTTCTATTAGTTTTGTAGAAAAATAAAATTGTTTTACGTGTTTTCTGGCGAGGTAATAAAGAAAACTTATAAATAACAATCATTTTTCTATCATTTATCATTTTTTGTTTAGATAATGTTGTTGAGTTAAATTTGTTTAGTTCCTCAGAATATGAAACAGAAGATGATTTGTCTGGTTCATCATATTCTTCAAAAACACGAGGGTTTATAACTTTTATGACTCCTAAATTACTTTCTGCATTAGATCAATGCAAGATATCTGACCGCGATGCTGTGCATTTAATTATTTCTACTGCTGAAGCATTAGGTAATAACGTATCAAAGTTAATAATCAACCGATCAACTATTCGACGGAAAAGATTATTTTTTAGTGAGAGAAAAGTAAATGAAATAAAAAAAAAATTAAATTTCTGGATAAAAATAGTCTTGTCTTGCATTGGGATGGAAAACTACTTCCAGGCATTATGAATATAGCTGAAGTTGATCGATTGTCAATCTTGGTATCATTTGAGGGAGTAAGTCAATTACTTGGGTTCCCAAAAATTGAGAGTGATTCTGGCGAGAATCAGGTAAATGCAATTTTTGATTTATTACAAGTTTGGGATTTAAAAAATAAAATACAAGCCTTGTGTTGTGACACAACAGCTTCTAATACAGGTCGCTTAAATGAGGCTTGTATATTGCTTAAACAACTCTTAGAGCGCAATGTGTTGTATTTACCATGTCGTAGACATATTTTGGAATTAATTTAAATTAAAAAGTAATTGAGTGGGTTATGATACAAAATCACCCTGTATGTAACAAATAATTAAGGACCAAGGGTGTAATTCTTACAAAAAAATAAAAAGACAAGTAATAGGGAAAAGTAGAGAATTCAGTCTCAGGATTGATACAAAAAAAGAAGAGAAGGATAAAAATTTTGTATGTTGATTTTATCCATGGTTACATAAATATTTTAAATCAAATTTCAGTTAAGAAATACTAATCTTAATAACAACTTTTATAACAAATTAATAACTCATTATTATTAATTATTATCATTATTAATAATCATTACATTATTAACATGATTATGCCTAAATAACTTAATTTAATATTCTAGTATTTATCAATTGTATTCAATAAAATTATCAGTGCTCATTCAAGCTCAGGTAATATCTTATACCTAAAGCCAATACTTAATGAGTAAAGATTTAGATACTTCTATCTTTCTCTAATGAGAACAACAATTAATATCGCAAAATATATATAAAAAAATACAAATTTTAAAATACTCTATGAATTGAACTACAGAACATCAAGAAGTGATTTTACTGCCAAATTATTTCTTATAATCTATATATATAATGCCTATTTAGGATTTTTATTAAACATTTATCTCAATTTTCATTTTTTGTTTTAAATAAAAAAAATATACAATTTTTTTATAATATTACAATTGTTCTAAGCCCCAACAAGTTATAAAAAAGTAAACAACAAAAAATATTTAGTGGATCAAAAATTAAAGGATTACAATGATAAGTTATTTAAATGTATATTATTGTAGTTTTTTGAATCAAAACAATATTTTTCTTTGCAAAAATTAAAAATTTTTAATTGTTTCAAAGAAAATGTGTGTTTTATGCTTAATGAATCCGTTATTTATATGGTTATACCCAACCTGTATATATAATCCGTAAGTTAATATTTTTTTTAATAGTAGTGTTTAAATTTAAATAATAAGCTATCACTATTATAATAAAAACATGACCAATTTAATGGAGGTATACTAAAAAATGTAATTAACTATTAAATAAAACATATAAATGAAAACAATAAATAAAATAAACAAATAATGAATAAAAAATATATTTACCAAATTCATTGTTTCTTTTCTCTTTAAAGGGTTGTAACAACAGGAGTAAATTTGTAAATCTTTTATTTCCCCATTGACTGTTTGACGTGTTGGAGAAGACATTTGCAATTTCAATTTAGCTTCAGTCTGAAGTAATTTATACAATATATTAGAAAATGATTCATTTTGTTAGCATTAATATTTTATAAGTATTATTACATTTAAAATAATGGCATTTGTATTAATATCATTCAAACTTTCCACTAGTATAATATCAGGTTTTTCTAATTGCACTTTTACCATGAGTGTCTTATTATTATTACGTATTTCAGAATTGCTGTTTTTAATCTATAAAGGTTTAAAAATTATTAATTAAATAAAACAAAAGTTTAATGAAAGATGAACTCACAACTAAATTTTGTTTTGTAGACTTTACTTTATCGTTTATATCTATATCCTGAGCTTGTAATGGCAATACAAAGAAATTTAAAAGATACTCCACATATTCCATGTTTAATATCAAATTAAAACTAAATATTTTTAGTTGAACTAATAAAAACAAAAATATTTAAATAGTATCAATTAAAAATTAGTTACACAAATTATTCTGTAATGAAAAGCTATAAAATTATATTGACTAAAAATTGATTTATAATGTGTTTTTTTAACAATAGGTAAAATAGATTTTAAGTAATAAGAAGTTTAAATTGCATTTTTCATTTAAATTCTAAATTTATGACTCTACAATACAGAATTATATTATTAGTATTTACCATCTAAACCAGTAAGAGTCTGTTTAAGTTTTATATCAATAGTATTTTGAGTAGATTCTTTTTCAATAACATTTTTCTTTCTTTCCATGTATCGTACTACTTTATTTCCACAACTATAATTCAACCGAGTATCATCTAATATGACATCCAACAAATATAATGACAATCCTAATGTTAAGTCTGTTAGCATTGAACCACTAACTGTCAATGATGAAAATATAAATTGACCCAAACTATTTTCTTTAACTTGATAACCATTCTACAGTAATTCAATATAATTAAATTTAACATTTATAAAAATAAAAACAATTTATTACCTCATCAGGTCCACCTTTAAATAGTTCTAAAATAATATTTTTTACAGCAAAATCAAACTTAGCCAAAGTTCTGATTTCTTGAGTATAAGGTTTTTTTTCTATATCTACAGTAACTTTGGTTTCTAAAAAAAATAATTTATTAAAAACTAATTTGATTTTATATTTTTAGTTTTATATTACTTCCAAGTACTGGAATGCTTTTAGCAGAATAAGATTTTATTAAGAATGAACATAGTTGGAAGTAAGGCAAAGGATTAGAATATTTGACTTAAACAGTAAAATAAGAATGAAGAATCCTTAGGTATACTATATTAAGAACTTGAAGTATTTAAGTTTTTTACTAAATAACAAATTTAAATTAACTCAAATTTAGATTTAAAAAAAAAATTTTATTTTATGAATGAAAACAAGTTTATAGGTGAAATAAATTTAATAATTAGTAAAGCAATTATAAAATAAAGAAATCAATTTTTATCAGTGTATACTGAAAAAAAAGACAAGTATATATCAACAGTTTGTAAAAAGGTGGTCTAGTCAAAAGTTGTAATTCTTTAAATTAAAATCATAATAAAATACTAAATTAACCATCTATGGAAAAAACATTAATACTTCTAAATATAGTGGAACATTTACAAAATAGCTATGAATGATCTAATAAGGTTAAATTTTGATTTAACCATTTTTTCATACGTATAAAAAATAATCTAAGTCTAAACACTTATTACATGTTAACATACCATTGGGATTCAATTGAGAGGTATTCAAACTTGGCTGATTATTTAAAAAATCAGAATCTTCTTTTCCTTCATTTAAATTATCATTCAATACATTTAAAATTACAATATAATCATTATGGCTAACTGTCACCTAATCATAAAAAGTATTATTACTTCAAATTGACCTTTTTTATTATTATTTAAACAGACTTTTAAAATCCTGTTAATAAATGATCATATTCATATTATTTAAAGTTACATACTTTAATTGAATCAAATATGGCCACAACATCAAAATCTGGATGATCTACATACCAACCAGATGAAAGATTTCTTTCAACAATTAGAGAAAAACTAATTGGTTGTAATAAAACACAATCAAACGCAAAATATTGTAAATTATCCATCAATTTTACTCTGAAAATGCCATAAACGTTTATAAATTTAATGTCTGAGTTCAAGCATGTTAAAGTAAATGAATTAATATGAGTTTATGTTTCAAAATCTTGTAACGATTTATGTTTTCAAAATATATTAACAAAAAAATTATTTTGAAAGAATTCTTCTTAGAAAATAATACTTGTACTCTACTTTTATTTGTAAACAAATTTTAACTAACCTAGAAACTTTTAAATCTTGTAAATTTAAATTTAATTTGTCTAGTACAGCTGGTATGTGATCAGATCCTTTGTGAATAATATTAAATGAGTTTGTTATGGATAAATATCCAAAATCAAAACATAAACCTTCCAAAACTTTTGAATTTTGAGGTACAATGAAAACTGGAGCCTATAAAATTTATCATGTACATTTTCTACATTTATATTATTTAAAAATTAGAATAAAAAGACCAAACTAAAATACCTTTAAGTTAATATTAAGTGCTACACGAGTAGCAGACTGAACATTCATTTTAGCTGTAGCGACAGCTGCAGCACTTGCTTCATATACAGCAGCTTTTCCAGCTTGAAAATGATTGATAAAATCCTATAATTAATACAATTTATGAAAATTATATTAATAAAATATTAAATAAATTGATATGTTAAAACTAAATACATTTTCAAACAAATTTATGAGAAAAATTAAATAAATTTATTCATTTTTTTAATAAGTTATTTAATAGATTTTAATATGATGAATCAGTATTTAACTTGGGGTAATTAAATATTTTACAGATCTTATAACTTAATTTTTGTAAACAAATATTTTATGTATCTTAAAAATATGTAAACATTTTACTAGTGCTTCAGATTGATATGACTAAAATGATTATAAATATTTAACTATCCCAAATTGGCCCATTTGACTTTACATACTATTATTAAAGTTTGACAAAATAAATAATGCCTATTTCTTTTTTTTGCTCATAATTTTTATGCACGAGAGGCATACAAAACAATAAGGTTCTGCAAATAATTATTAATAAATACCAAATTATTGATTTTTATAGAAATTGAATAATAATTTTTTTTATCAAAACTAAAATTTTATTTAAACAAATTAAAATAAAAAAATCTTACCAATAATTTTTTTACAAAACAATTAAGAAAAACACATTTTATACATCCAGAAGAAACAGACAAGTAGATTTCTGGTGAATTATAATCCACTAGATATTGTTCATTGTACATAATTATTTGCAATTTAAGAGCATCATCATCTTCAGCAACACGGATTATCTAAACAAAATTAGATCAATTTTCAAAATGTGTTAGAATCAAACACTATAATAATTATTTAATAGAATATACTTCACTTCTTTATTTAATAAGTTAAATTAAAGTAAATTTAATTCACTTTATTTGAAAATCAATGGTTTGATCTTATTCTTTACATGTTTATTAAATTTTTTTTCCCTGTAGAAACATTATCATCTACCATTAAATGTGATACTGCATAATAGCGATTATACTAATTTAATTTAAATTTTCATTTACTGATTAATTTTATACTTGCATATTTTACTTATAAATATTATATTATAAAATATTATGTTAGATAAAATTCAGTAATTTTCAATATTTCTTTGACACATTAAGTAGTTCAAAAATTAAACCTCGACATTTAAAAGGATTTCAACCATATTTGTGAATGTAAAAGCTCCACTATTTTTTCACTCTCATTTATTTCTTAAAAATTATCTTTTATCTTGTTATTTTTATCCACAAATAATAGTCAATATTTAAAAATAAATCTTCTTCTTCTTCCTCGCCTTAATCCCAACTACTTGGGGTTGGCCACCCTTATCCTAAACTTCCACTTGACACGATCTTCTACATCATCTACGCTCACATCAGCTGTCCTCAAATCGCATTCAATAGCATCCTTCCATCTCTAATTCATCACTAATTAAATTTACCAGTCCCTCATTCCACAAGATATCCTCTAATGTCTCTTTTGGGTACTCTTCATTCAATAATTTTTCAAAATACTCTTTCCACCTTTTTTTCACATCATCATCACTCGAAAGTACCTTATTATCAACACTTTTGATATGTTTTATATAATGATAATCTTTAGACCTTTTCTCTCTTATCTTTGCAAGTCAATTGATTTCTTTCTCGCCTTTCTTTGTTCCTCCTAGCCTATCATACAACTCATCATACCTCATAAACTTTGTCTTACTTACTGCACACTTGGCTTCTTTGCACAAGCATTTATATTCCATCACGTCTTTTCTCCTTTTGCTCTTCTGCCATATTTTGAATTGCTTTTTCTTACTTTCTATACATTTTTGAACGTCCTCATCCCACCACCAAGTTTCATTGTTTCCTGGCATTCTACTTCTACTCTCACCAACAATCTCCTTTGCAGTATTCATTACACAACTAGCAAATCTATTCCACACATCATTTATGTCTCCCTCGACATTCCACACCGTCCTCACTTTTATCGTCTTTAAAAACCCTTTCTCATTTTTCCCTTTCAATTTCCACCACCGGATCTTCGATTTTTCCCTGTGTTTCTTCTATTTTTGTTTATACTCTTTCCAGTACACCACAACTCCATTACCATCAGACTATGTTGTGTAGTTACACTCTCGTCTAGTATAACTTTACAATCTTTTACTTGCTTTACGCTCTCTCTCTTCCACATAAAATAATCTATCTGTGATCTATTCATCCCATTCTTGTATGTTGTATAATGTTCTTCCCTCTTTCTAAAATAAGTATTAACCACATCAAGATCATACAATACTGTGAAATCCAGTATTCTTTCTCCAGCCTCATTCTTCCCACTAAAACCATACCCTCCATGTACTCATATCCTCTCCTCTCATTACCTACATGTCCATTCATATCTCCACCTATCACCGAATCCTCATTGCCAGGTACCCCTTGCATCACTTCATCCATTTCTCACCAAAACACTTCCTTGTTTATTTCATCACATCCCACTTGTAGTGCATAGGCACTTATTACATTCAGCACTTTTTCTTTGAATATCAATTTTATGACCATAATTCTATCACTTTTCTCAGCTACTTCTACTACTTTACTTTTCATCTCTTCATCCATTATTATCCCTCCACCATTCTTTGTACTAGACTTACCTGAGTGTATTATTTTATAACCCTCATCTATTTCCCTTGATTTCTCTCCTTTCCACTTAGTTTCCTGCACACAACAAATGTTAACCTTTCTCCTCTTCAATACTTCTACTAATTCTCTACTTCTACCAGTTAATGTTCCAAAATTCCTAGTACCTATTCTTACTTTGTATCTATCTTTCTCCCTTATACATGAGTCCAGCCTACAGTTAAGTGGTGATGTCTCTACACCGTTGACACTACAAGCGTTGGGTAGACCTGTACATATGACTAGTGAAACAGCTACCGCACAAGTTGTCCGGCTGGTATTAAACACTTTATTCCTTAGGCCTTCTCCTTGTTTAACTACTTTCTGTTGTCCTAGCGTACATCTGAGATGGGACAATTCGCCTAAGTTTTGTTCAGGATTTTTCATACTTTTTTGACAAAGATTTTTACGCCAGCTGTCGACCTGACACAACCTCAATAGTCTCTTCTTACGATTGGCAGAGGGGCCAGTACAATTATAATATTCAAAAATAAATAATTATAATTATTTATGGATAAAAAACAAACAATTATTGTTTGTTTTTAATTACTGTATTTTTATGATAAATATTTATTACTATAATTATATTTAAAGAAATGTATTCAAAGTAATAACAAAATTATTTTTAATCTCCTTTATTTTTTTTAGAATGTTCAATAAAGTATTTTTTTCATTTTCCAATTGACTTTTATTATTTAAAAAAAAAAAAAAAAAAGGTAGCACAGTATGAACATGGCATACTTAGACAAGTATAGATGACATTTGACAGCGATTAAAATCAATATCATAGAAACGCTTCTATGCAAATCTGTAGATAATGTTTAATTCTAAAAAATTGGTACATAATTGCATAACATAATAACATCAACTCATATTTCCTTGATTATATCCTGATTAGTAGTTCTTAGGTTCAAAAATATAATATATATATACAAATTAAAAATAATTTGGATTTCACATTCTATGTTTATTAGATTTAAATAATATTCAGTCTAGTCCCCTAATAATGTATTTTAAAATAAATTAAAGTATAATATTGTATAAGTATAATGTTTCCGGGACATTTTCAAAAATTAAGTTGAAAAAGTTTAACTTCTATGCAAAAATTGCTTTTTTGAATTCCTTCCTGTAGGCAGGTAAAGTGTCAGGATTTTCAAGAAATTTATATTAAATTGAAAGAAAATATCTAAGGTTTCAATAAAAAAAAAAAATTCTTTTGATTTGTTCAGTTTTCAAAAAGTTATGCAAGTTTTAAATATCAAAATATTAACATGTTAAACGGAGGTGTTTACATAAAAATTACATATTTTGTTAAATTTGACGGACATTTGCCCATAGAAGAAAAGATGTTGGGACAAATTTTTTTTTTATGAATGTATAGTGTTTATCATAAAGTTTAATTTGACATATATTTGAAGCTCGAAGTATTTCAGGAATATTTTCAAAACTAAAGTTGAAAAAGTAAAATTTTTATGCAGAAGTTACTATTTTGAATCCCCCTGTGGGCATGTAAAGGGTCAAATGTTGACAAAAATATATTAAATAATAGCAAAATACTTAAGGGCTTCAATATAAAAAAAAATTATGTTGGTTCATTCATTTTTCAAAATGTTATGGCAGTTTTAAGAAAATAAAGTTTAGTAAAAGTCAACATTTACTAATTTTAAAAATCGTAATTTTTTTAAATTACGATTTTTAAACTATAAAACTTTTTTGAAGCTAAAAATAAAAAAAACTTTTTTTTTTTATTAAATATTAACGAAATACAAATATTTCTTGTGTCAATATTAGTAAATGCAAATTGAAATTATTTTAAGTTAATTATAGTTTAAGTATTAATTTAGAATCACCTTTATACTACTTAATATAACCAAATTAATAATTACATAGTAATATTTTTGTGTTTAAAATTAAGTAAAAATAATTTTTTCATCAATTACAAAATAATTCACATGTTACACTTACATGTTTATAAACTGTATCAGAAGATGGATCTGCAACACTTATACTTTGTAATTTTGCATCCATTTGAATATAGGATTTCTTCATTACAACAGATGATTCAAGCTTTGTAATGAACATATGAGCTAAATCTTCTGATTCAGTTGTAATTATAAGTTGAATTTCACCAATTTTTGAGTCTAATTTAAAATCTTTTACATCATTATCAGTAACTGTTTTTCTATTCACTAGTAAAACAGACAAATTATTGATTTTTGTATTTATAGAGCTATATAAAAAAATAATAAATAAAATATTATAATAATTTGATAGCAAGTAACTTTAGTTCTAGTAAACACTTATGTACTTTAACTGTAGATTATTTTCAAATATGAATTATTACTATAATTAATATAATTATTTATAGTAATTATAATTATAATTGAGTGTATGTCCAACAAAATTTTTTTCATTTTGCTAGTTTTGCTCTTATTCTATGCCTCCCTCAAAACTATTTCTCTATTCTTAAGCCTCTAAGATCTTCCTAATTTTTCTAGACATAGACATAAGCTAAATATTTACTTTTTACTTATAATCTCCTATCAAATAAAATTGACTCCTGATCTAATTTCATTAGTTCAGGATGTTCATGCTTGATCACTCTTTCACACATTCCTTTTCGAATGTATTATTCACAGATTATCAATCAAACTCACCACTCATCTACGAGAAGCAAATATCAACACTCTTTTATTATGATAGTCATGTTTCTGAAACTATGTTTGAGTGTAGGAGAGGTGGAAAGGTTTGCTTCAACTACGCCCTAGATATTTCTTTTGAAATTTGGCTAGACCCATATTTAATAAATAATAGTCAAAATAATTAATAATTGATTATTCATTATAACATAAATAATTGTTTTAAAATTCCTATCACCAAAAAAACCCTTAAATAATTAATATCAAAACAAAAATAATTGATGAATAGACATACTTTGTTGAATTTTACTAGAAGCTGATTCTTCTAAAATAGTCGATAAAGCAGTTGAAACTAGTGGCATTTTTTTTAATTTGTCTTTTTTTTGAATATTTTTAACAGTTTTTGGTTCACTAGGATAGTTATATTTTTTTTTCATACTCGTTATATTAATACCGACATTTGATAACCAATCAATAAGATATAGCATTGCTTCTCTATTAGCTGTAGCTAATATTTTAGTAAAGTTCAACTCGAGTTTTTGTAATACGCTATCATAAGTTGAATGAAATTCAGTTGTATTCTTTTCTGCCTATAAATGAAAAAATATATTAATTTATCAAAAATATTTCAAAAAACTTTTTCAGGATAAATAAACTAACCAAAGTGTACTTCAAAAGTAAAAGATATTGATTTTCATCATTTTCATCATCACTTGGTGTGTCAACTAAAGGAATAATAATATCTTTGTGATACTGAGCAAGAAATAATCTACCTAGTTTTAAAGCAATATTTGTATTGAATGTTTGTTGAGTTAATGAAAGTTCCAACGTAAGTAAATTAAAATCTAATAGAGGATTTAACCATGAACCTTTTCCATCACATGATAAAACTTTAATTGATAAACCTAAATAAATTTGAAATTACACAAAATTATGTATTTTAAAAAGAGAAAAATTATACTTACGTTTTAGAACTAATTTTACATCTAGTGATGTAAATTGTACACTGAAATCAGAAGCTTTTTCTGCTTCTTTTCTTTGGTTCATTAAATTTTTAGTTACATTGAAAGAATCAATTTTTTGACGTAATGACATAGCTGATCCAAGAATATCTATATCCTAAAAAAGCGAAAAACAAATATTTAATAAAAATTATATTTTCTGTAACCAAATTAATACTACTTTATCTATTTTTTTATATATAAAATATATATTACATACATGAGAATCATCATCATTTTCCTTGCTTGCTTGAGGTAATGGAATACTCAAAAAAACTGATAAAGCATCCAATACACGATTCTCTAAAATTTATTTAAATTAACATTAAAATTAAAAATATTTACTAATCAAAGTTTTTTTTATTTCAATGAGTATCTGTTAATTTCTTTAGTTTTAGGTATTTTATCTAAAATTTATAACAGTATACTTTTGGCTCTATTGCTAATTGAGCCTATCAAAGGCTTATATGGTACTTTCAATAATCTGGTAAATCTTAGACCGTCAAATTAATCTATTACAGCCAATTGTTAATTTTAATTATTGAAATTAATGTTGCATACATGCAACATTGGCTAATAATGGGTTAACAAAATATAATGCTGGTTTCAATAAATACTATTGAAGGTTTACTTAAATTAAACGTAATATACATATTAAGTATACCTTTAAAAGTTTTTATGATACATTATATAAAAAGCTATGATAAGAGTTAACACCTTACATCAAATAGTTTTTGTCACTCTCTTTATCTCTAGTAGATCTATGTATGCAAAATAAAAATATAGTATAATAAATATTGTTTTAATTTTAAGTCGTAATACTAATAACATAGATATAAAAGAGAGAAAATCATTTTAAGTGTCAGGAGGTATTTTAAAATATATGTATACTTGAGCTGAAACCATTAGTATTGATTAGTTTGATGAGAATGTTAACCTGCAACTTTAATATCTATGGCTGGAAGTTCACCAGTCACTTTGAGCAATGGTAACCGTGGATCATCAGTAATTAAGCACTTTTCAACTTCTATAAGTAAATTTGTTGGCTTTAGGATATATAGGTCATTCTGATGTGACTCATTGAAGGCATTCTTCCATTTTTCACCTTTATTAGCAATCAAAATCTAAAATAATTAAAACTTGTTATTTTACAAAATTTTATATTTAAAAAAAAATTTATTTACTTGTGCATTTTCAAACTCAATATAAAAACGGTCATAACTACGGTTAACAATTTCTTGTAAAACTTCAGTTTGAGAGGCACCTTTTTTATGCAATGATTGAATACTCACATCATCAATTATTTGTGGCTTAGATTTTATTTTTAAACTTCCTAAATTAAAAACTAACATAGACTGGTTCCTAAATTACAAAACATAAAATACAAATTACAATTACTTTTAGTAATGTCAAAAAACATTTACTTGTTATAAAATCCTCCATGAGGTATAATAACATAGGATGCCATCAAATCGATTTTTAATTCGAGCCTTTTACGTTCATCAATAATATGTTGCATACCTATTGCTGATTTTTCTTTAAATTCAGCAAACTTGGATCCAGCAACTTCTTGTAATCTAAATTTTTTTTTAATTCTAGATAATATAATATTTAAAAATAAAATTACTTAAATGTAAATTTTATAACAACATACTGAGTTTTAACTGTAGATTGCTGTGTGCTGAAAATATTTATAATCTTAATTATAGTTTGTGCATCATAAACCAGTTTTAATGGTTTAAAAGATAACTGAACTCTACTGTCATAAGATTTATTTAGAGGATTTGTTTCAAACAAGAAACTAAATAAATACAACTGGTTATCAAAATAATCTCCATCTTGAAAAGATAATAAATCTTGAGCACTTTTATATTGATCAAAAGTCTTGGATGTAACAATTTTAGGAACCTTATTTGATTGAGGGAGGCCAAAAATAGACAATGTTTCACCCGAGGCTTCCACTCTAAAAATAAGTTGTATTATAAATAATTTTATTCTATTAACTATAATTTACAAGGAACTAATTGAATTACTAATTTCAATTAAGTATATATTACTTCAAAGCGTTTGCTGCCATTCTTCTTTGAAAATTCAACACAAATCCCTTAAAATAAACTGTTAATACTTTTTGTACAGAAGAAAACTCTTCATCAAACACTGATATTTCTAATGTGTGCAAACAAAATTTGAATTTTGTATCAACAAAAGTTTCTGGATAATTTGTAGCAATTGAACTTTCTTGATAACCTATTGCCTTGTACAATTTTTCCTTTTCAGTTGTATTCATAGCTTCTTCAAACTGTCTGACTAAAATATAAAGTTAAATTAGTATATTTATGTAAAATTATGTACTTTAAAGAAATATTACTAATATCTTTTTCTTTTTCTTCGACATCAGCACTCTTTCCTCTCCAAAAACTAAACCAACCCCGTTCTGATTCACATTTTTTCATTTCTTCTTGAATTTTGCCTTCCCTTTCAACCTGTAATGAAAACATAAACATTTTATCTTTGATATGGAACAGAAAAAGAAGTGATTATTTTTTTATATTAACGACAACTTACTACTAAGTAACTTATAATTTATATTTAAAATTTTGTTGGTTCTATTTACTAAAGATACAAAAAATGTAAATCTTAAAATTATCTTATAGATAGCATAATATAAATTTAAATTAGATATATAAGGAATTATTTTCAAAAAAAATAATAACATACAAATTACTAGAGTAAAATTGTAATTGATTTCTGTTTATTTATTATTAAATAAAAATTTGCCTTAATATAATTTTATGTAAAATTTTAAGTATTCATCTTACTTTTCTTGTTATTTATTTAAATTACTTTAAAATAATCATTGTATTTAACTGGTTAAATTCTATTATGAAGATGATTAAATTAGAAAACAATATCAAAAACAAAACTTGTTAACCAAATAGTAATTAATCAAAATAAAAAAAATTGCATAAACATAATTGAATTAATATTTCTTAAGATAGTTTTCTTTACATATAGATCAAATATTTAGTTTATACCTCATTTTCTACACGTTGTCTTGTTAAAATTATATTCATAACATCCAATTTATTTTCTAACTCTTCAATTGCTTTTAATGTCATAGTAGGTGTTTTTTTTGCCTCCAATTTTTGTTTATAATAAATAGCATAATCTCTTACAGCTTTTCTATGAGTATATATATGGTTCCAGTCCCAATTTCTACGCACTCTTCTTATATCCTCTTCTAAAATACAATTATAGGCAAATTTCCACCTAATACAAATGACTTTTTAATTTTACTTTGTGAAACTAAATTTAAACAGAATTCTATTTCAATAGTAGTTTTTAATTTAAACCACTTAAAAGCTAAATCATTTTTTTAAATAAATTTTGAAAAAAAAAAATATATATATATATATATATAAGTATAATATTTCTATCATAAAAACAAGTAAAAAACCCAGCACAGGGGGGTCGCAGCACAGTGATGACGTGGCATAGTTGGATTAAGTATAATGATATCTGACAGTGATTAAAATCACTATCAAAAATAAACGCTTCGATGCAAATCTTTAGATAGTGTTTAATTTTAAAAAAATTGGTGTTTTATTCTAAAAGCTACTTGATCTGCTGGTTCCTTATTAATATCTCGATTAAGATAAAGTATGTCGAATGAAAAAGGGTTTATTAAAAAATATTATTTCTCATAAAAAAAATTGTGTGGATCCATAAACTTTTCAATAAGTTATAGCATTATAAAGTTTGGATGTGGAGGAGTGGCAGGAGGAGCAAGATGTGCGACAAGCACTGAGCGCCGCCCTGAATTCTCCAAGTGGAGAATTGCCGCCGAAAGTGGGACCCATTACGGTCCGCACAAACATCGGCGGTAAAGGGCGGTATGCGAGGTGCGACGTGCCCCTCAAGATGGCTCAACGCCTGGCGGCCATAGGCCGAGTCCGGGTGGGGTGGACATCCTGTAGGCTGAGGATTCTTGACAAGGGTCCTCAGTGCTACAGGTGTCTGGAACGCGGGCATATCGCTCATGCGTGTAAAGGACCGGACCGGTCGAAGGCCTGCTTCGGATGTAAGAAGGAGGGGCACGTCGCCAAGGACTGCCCTGTTAGAAGGAAAAAAGAAGAAGGTCGGGTTCTTAACCCGGCCAACAATGGAGAAGACTGCCTACCCCCACCTCCACGTGGTCCAAAACCGGGCAACGGACCCTCTAGTGGGGTCCGGCTAATGGGGGAGGCTACGCCGCGCTGGGATTCGGCTATAGTGTGAACTTGGGCCGAGTCACAGCGCGGTGGCAAGAAGAAGCTAAGGCGACGTGGGCCGCCCTGAAGCAATGCCTAACGGCAGTTCCGGGGAGGTCTACATTAAGTCGGCTGTAAGAGGAAAAAAAAAAAAAAAAAAGCATTATAAAGTTAAATATAATATAAATAATAAAATCGAGAATTTTCACACGAAAATAGCATTTGGTAGCCATTTTCGCCGTGAAGACAAGTCCAGAGGTCAAATTTTTTTTTTTTCAAATTAAAGTATATTACATTAGCTTTAATTTAAGATACATATAAAAGTGTCAGACCTTCCGGAACATTTTCAAAAGTTAAGTTGAAAAAGTTAATTTTTTGTGAAAAAGTTGTCATTTTAAATTCCCCCCTGTGGGCAGAAAAAAGGTCAAATTTACAAAAAAAATATACCAAATGATAGGTAAAGACATCAAGCATCTATAAAAAAAAAAAAAAAACACATCATAGTAAAACCAATACCTTCTCAGCTTCGCATCGAAGCTAATATTTATTAAACTTTCCTATTAAATATACTAAATATTTAATGTTAATTTAAAATAAAACCATGTAGATTAAATATTTTTAAACTTATGATGAAATACATTTTTAACTCTTAAAAAAAATGGGTTGGATTATAATAGTTGTCAGTTATTCGAATCTAAAAAATAAATTTATACACAGTTAAATTATAGTTTTAAACTGTCCATTAATCATTTATATTACATCAAATATATAAAAAATTGATCCCACAAATATTATCAAACACTTTAAATATTATAATATCAAGATTTTAAATCTTTTTACCATTCTTTGTAGTGTCCTTTATATTCTTTCAAAAGAGGTCTATATTTTCTATATGGTATTGCTTTAGTTAAACGATCTAATGATTCAGCTGCCATAATTAAATCTTGATACTGAGTTTTGCTTATTTCTAAAAATAAATACTAAAATTTACAAATTCAATAAAAAAAATATAATAGTCATTATTCTTATTCTTTTCAAAACAAACAAATAAAACATTATAATTATAAAAAAGATTAGACACACTATTAATAAAATAATTCAATAAATAATATTTTTTATTAAAATAAAATAGAATATTTTATTTTTACAAATATGAAGGTTGTCCAAAATAAGTTTTCCTTTGTTGTAAAAAAACTACAAAGAATTTCAATAAAATTCTTTTATTTTTGGATTGGATACTTCAATAATTATATTTTCACATAGACTCAGTTTTTTAAAATACATTTTTAAAATTGTGGTGAAACTTTTACAGTTCAATCTATAAGTGATTTGCACCACTTTCTTTAAATCAGTACAATCCATTACACTCAACTAGTTGAATTCATTATTTTTATAAAAGTGAAATCTTACTAAGAGAATTTTTAACTTTGAAAATAAGTAATGGTTATGTGAAATGAGATCTCGGGAGTACAGTGGAAAATGAATAATGTTGACGTTGCAAGTGTCAAGAAGCTCATCTTTGCTGTATGAAGGTGTGTATTATTAAATAGTAAAACTATACTTTTTCATAACTAATAAGCCATTTGTTTTGAATTATTTTTCTGGAATTATTCAAAATTTCATAATATATTTTAAAATATTTTTTTCTAAGGTAAAAAAAAAAACAAAACACCCTGACCATAACTTTGTCTTTTAAGAAATAAACGTTGGTTTTTTTTTTTTTTGCTAATCCATGAATTAACTATTTATTTTAAGAATTTCCTGAAAAATTGGACTTTTTCAATTGTTCCACAAGCTCTTCATTTTTTTATTTATATTAAAGAAAAATCAAAATATTTTTATATATCAGGCAATTGATAAAAACATCAATAAGAAAAAGCATTATTTAAAAACAAGTATTTAAACAAAATACATACTTAAATTTAAACTTTCCATGTCAATGCTTATTGCATATTTTGGTATTGTAAAATCACTACCATCTAATTCTGGTTTAGGATTCATTTTCATTTTAGCATTAGCATTTATAGGACCTAATACTTAAGGGAAAAAAATGTAAAAATCTTTAAATAAAATGTTAACAAAATTATATATGATTTTAGAGTGAAATTTAAAATCTTACAATATTCATAGCCATCAGGAAGAATATCTTTGTTAGGTATACCATTTATGAAGGAGTTTATGAACGTTTCTCTTGGGTAATCTGTAAATAAATGTCCATTGGTATTCCAATACAATGCATATCCTTCCATTGAGATAATCTTTAAAAAATAATTTATATTATTTTTAATTTGTCTAATATTAATAAGTTAAACACATTATTAATAAACGATTCATTTTTAGACTAATAAAAATTGTATGTTATTCATAGGCATGCATGTGAATCAAATCAGCGTTATAGAATAACTTAAAAAAATAAGGTAACCTTTTTTTTGTATCATTACTATAATGATATTAAGTAAAAAGTTTATATATTTCAAGGTATCAATACATAAGTTTATAAAATTATTATTCTTTATCATAGACTAAACAACTCATGATGAATAAATGTTTATAAACCGTAAATTCAATAATTTGCTATAACATATTGCTCAAGTGCTCAAAACATTGGTTCTACTTGATTTTGATTAGTTCCTGATATAAGTTTCTCAGAATTTTATTAATAATTAAAATTCAGAATAAAAAGGAAACAATTACTAGTAAACCATCAATAAGTTCTTTCCCTGTTTAATCTGGGAACTTTACATCCCTATGTACAATAACAGAACCTACTTGTAATCTATCAAATTCTTTTAAAGTTTATCTGCTCTTTTCTTCCATAAGCGTTGGCTAATTCAATTAATAGAAGCTCATTTCATTATTAAATTACTTACATTAATATCAAAAGATTCAGCAGTTGCAGACAATATATAAACTATATTGCATTCATTTATTTTATACCAATTTAATGAACTTGAAAGTTTTAGTGTTATAAAGTTTTTTTGGACTCTGTAATACAGAAAGATCTTAACATTTAGATACATTTTCAACATATCTATTAATTTTTCAGTATCACTATCAGAATTTTGATTTTGTTAAAATACAATCATCTCTTAAATAACAAATTTAGTAATTTCATGCAAGTTAATTTTAGCTTCCCACATTTTTAAAAATAATACATGTAAAGCTTATCTTTTTTAATATAATTTACTTCCAATAACTTGATTATAGTCACTACTGATTAAAGAAATTATTTATCCTTTATACAACTGTTGTATGTATAATAAAACTAACAAGAGCATAATAATCAAATGTTATACTAAGTAGCATACAAGGTTATATATTTTTATTGACACTTTTAAGGTATAATTTATTTATATAAACACCACTTATCATTATTATTAACATTAAAATACAATCCTAAATTTTAATTCATAAAATAGAAGAAAATAAAAAATATATATTTATTGTTTTTATATAACATAATTTAAGATTTTAAATATTTTCTTAATTAACTGTAGTACACTTTAATTTTGTACATAAAAATATCACGTAAGAAGGTAAGACTGAAAAAAATTCACCCACATGACGACCACCCTAATTATTATGAGTAAATATAGTGAGTTGATCATACCTTATATATCATTGCTAGTGGGTCCTGACCTTTATCAATAAATCTATTCCAATTTGAGTCAGTTGAATGAGAAGTCAAATCATAGAGTGTACACCCAAATGAAAACGGATTATTGGGAAATGTTACTCTATCTTCATACCTTATATGAATTGATTTAATATTAACTTGTACATTTCTAATAATTTGTGTTGCAAGTTTTTCAACAAATGAATCCTTAGTCTTGTCTTGTTCTAACTCTAAATAAATAAATAATTATTATAACATGTAAACCATTTTTTGACTTTATTTAATTAATTTTTAATAGATTAAATAAATTACAAAATAAAATAAATTTTTATAAATTTCTGTTAATTCATTATTTTAAAATACTATTAAGAAATTAGAATAATTTTTTGGTACTAGCCTTTTTGGTGCTAACTAATTATTAGTTATAACTTTAACCATACAAATCAATTTTTTTTATGTGAAAATATATTATGCAGTGTCTAAGCATTTCTGCTTGGGGAGTAAATATTTTTGAGGGTTTTTTTACATTACACTTTTACCCACCAGATATTTATCACAGGTGAGATACTAAATGCTCCAAATATACCCTCTGCCAATAGTTTTATTGTTTTAATTTATACTCATTCTATATCTTTTTAAAGATATTTAAATAATATAACTCATGTTTATTAAATATAAAAAAGTTGTTAACATTTTAAAAGTTATTTAAAAATATTTGTTGTTAAAACTATGTTGCTATGCTCATATATATTTTCACGTTTTCTGAGTTGTCTGCAACATTCAGTTTTTATTTTACTTTTCTTAATTTAACTAGCTTTAAAAAATAATAATAATGATTCTTACTACTTTTTTGTTGATCTAATAATTTTGCATTTTCCACTCTCAAAATTTCATTTTGTTTTGCTATTTGTTTATTTTTTTCTTCTTTTTCAGCATCATAATGTATATCTTGTGTTGGAACGACTAGTAAAAAAAGACTATCAATTGACGCCTCAACAGCGCCACTATACAAATTTTTCCATGGAATCTTTAAAACCAATTTACCTATATTATTAAATTAACAATTTTAATACATTAAAAAATTTAATTGTAAATCCTTAAACAAAAATGTTATCTTTTTTGTAATATTTAATTTTGTAAATAAGTAATTTCTAAAAAATTTATAGTATTAATGGTATTAAAAGAAAATTAAAAATGGGTATTCAATGGAAATACATGAACAATAAGCCAGCTTGTTTAATTAGGTTATTTTAGTCTATTTAATATAATAGGCTTTTTTTTATTTTTGAATAAATTTTTTTTAATCTAGTAATATACAAAAATGTAAAACATTTTTTTTTTTTTTTGAAATGCTAACCCAAATTATTGCCTTATAATATTTATACATATAATTATTTTCAAAAATTATTTACAAGCACTCCTGTAAGCTCTTATACCTTAATACACTAACATTTCTATACCTTAAATTTAACAAGTAATATATAATCAATTAAATAGTAAATACTAAAAATAAGTTCTTAAGTTTAAATATTAGAACATTAAATAACAATTTAAGGACCAACAAAAACTATATAATTTTTTAACTTACCCAAATGTCCATAAATTGTTCTTACTGGTAAATCTAAGTTATCTAAACAAGTTTCCTTGAGTTTTAAATCTCGTAATATAACATCTCCTGAAATAAAGAATATATATTCATTGAAATGTTGCAATATCTATAAACTCTTATATTTTAATTATTCTAAATAATATGTAACCAATATTATACATATAAATTATTCAAAAAATGTACCCTTTATAATTTTGTCACTATAATGTACATAAAACTATATAGATAAGTCATTTTAGCACGTGGCTACCTAATACTATTATCATGTATAACTGTATTTCATTGTACATTGTACTATGACACTTTTTATATAATTAATAAAGAATCACGGATGGTGACACTTGATAATCGAGATCTCCCATAAAAATTATCTAATTAAAATATTTCCAAACAAACTATCACAAAAATCATAGCCAGTAGTCTATCAGTGTTTAGGTCAATCAAACATCCTCTTTCTTATTCACCTCAATTATCAAGGCCTGGAAATGAAGACTAGAATTTATTCAGAGTTCAAATTTATTCAACTTCAATTACCTTTACATAACAAATTCTTGAATCACATACAAAACCTTAGGAGTTATTTAAAGGTTTATAAAATAATTATTACTGAGCTTGCTTCAACTATTATATGCTAAGAAATATATAGTCTATATTTTTATTGCATTCACTTACACAAGTATTCTAGCAGATCCTGACTATTCGTAACTTTAGTTTTTGATGAACCCTCTTATTTACACACCGTCAGAGATAATCTACTTTCTTTAATAGTAACTCAATCAAAAGGGTTTTGTATATTATCCAAATTAACATATTCTTCTTTTTGAGTTATTACAGAAACTTAATAGGATGTTTTAAGCTTATCAATTAATAAAAAATTACTTTAAAAAATATAAAACATTTTTTAATAGAATATTACTTTAAAAAATATTTAACTTACCACCCCATATTCCAATATTTAATTGAGAACTGTCCAAGTTTTCAACATACTCTCCAATAAATCTATTAAGAACGTCTGCTACTAAAGATTCAAAAACCATTTTTAATACATTTATTGAAGTTATATTAAATTAAGTAAATGAATTAAAATTCATAAACACATTGATAAAAGTCAAGCACATTTAGTAAATAAATAATTTTTAAATAAGTTAGAGTATATCTTTTTAGTTAAAAATATATTTGTGTGAACTATATATTAATAATAAAATCATGCGTATAGAGACTGATGACTTAATAGACTGATAATACAAGCACAGAATAGATAAAACCAGAAGTGACACTCTTAGTTTTTGCTGATAACAAGCTTATGTCGCTCAGTGTAGCCACTTAAGAAAAAAAAATGTATTCCCTTTTTTCTTTACATACGGTCACATTGTTCAACACCATTATTAATGGTTTGTTTGTAAACACAATGTTTATAAACATGGTTTATTGGTAAATATGAAAAATATATGGTAAATATTGGTATTAATGAATTAGAAAATATTTTTATTAATAACTTTTCCACACTTGCTATTGTAGATGGAGTTGGAGCCGAATTAAAAAAATATTTTTGTAATGTACCTTTTAACCACCCTTGTAAATGTTTTGATAAATTGTATTTAATTAATTTGTTTACAAGATTTAGAATATTTACAGCTATAAAACTTTTAAATAAAAATTTAATGTCTAAGAAAAAAATTAAAAATAGGAAATTGTCTATTTTAACTCATCTATAAATTATTTATTTATGTATATGATATTTGTAAATTATTGTAATATATGTTTTAAATAAATTTAATATTATGTGGATATTGAATAATTTTTTTTTCCTAAATAAGTCTTTATTAAATATACATAAAATAAAAAATATATTAAACAAACTAATTACACATAATGAAAACATTAATTGAAAGTTTTAAAATGGTGTTATATGTTTAGAAATAATAATAAAATAAATCCAAAAAATTTACTATGCAAATTTTCTAAAATAATTAGCATGTAAATAATACATTTAGAGTTCAAATCAACCGCCGATGTACAATTATTGTACAGTACAATGAATTATATGCATATAATTATTTATTTTATTGTTTTTATGGTAACACTGAGCGACATAAGCTCAAAATTACCGTACTCCCATAAGAATACATGTAATTTTTTTATCAGTGTCCATTCTGGTTTAATCTATTCTGTGATACAAGTAATATGGAGTTATATGTAATCTTTTTGATAAGAAACTGATAATTTTAAATTTGTGTCATTATGCATTAGTTTTTACAAACATACGCGTCAATGAACAACTTATTCTAGTAAGAAATCCATACGAAGAATTGATATATCTACTGGCAGTAAAGTGGGGTAGGGGCTAAGCCCATTAAAAATTAAAAAAGTTATATGTATTGTTATTAAAATATATCATGAACCTAACTCTAGAATTATTTATTTCCACCTATTGGTATATTTAATACTTAATTATAATATTTTATTAAATATTTGATTTTAGCGTTTGTTTTACACAATTCTATATTAAGAATCGTATTAAGTAGATTATAAATCATTAATCTAAAAAAATTATTTTTATTTTCACCTGAATTTAACAAAAAATTTTTACAATTATAATCAAATTTTATAATACATTCAATTGAGTAGATTTTTTTAGCAATATTTTAATTTGTTTTTTTAGATAAAATAAATCATTAAAATTAATTTAGTTCTGCATATTTCAATTGTAGAATATTTTTAAACACCAAAAGTTACTTAGAAATGATTACTATGATTCTATTTAAGTGATGTATTACAATAAAAATGCAAAAAAAATGTTGAGCTTTTCTGATAAATATACAATAAATAGTAATTATAAAATTTCCTGACTGCATATTAATCTTAACTATACAATTTTTTTTAATTCTCATAAAATTTCCTATTTAANCACAAATCGTATCTAGTTGAAGACATTACCCTTAAAAATTGAAAAAAATTCCCTCGTTCCCCGCAAATGGGGGAAATATCCAAAATAATTACAAATTTAAAAATCGCTAATTTTCGAAATTTGTTCACTTTTTTTTCTTAAAACATCCATAACTTTTTGAAAAATCAACAAATCAACATAATTTTTTTTTATACTAAAACCTTAAATATCTACCTTTCATTTGATATCATTTTTTTGAAAATCTATCACTTAACCTGCTCATTGGGGGGGATTTAAAATGGCAACTTTTTTACAAAAATTAACTTTTTCAACTTAATTTTTGAAAATGTTCCGGAAATACTGCGTCCTTCAAACATATATCAAATTAAAGCTTTTTTTATGTACTATAAAATGATGTATAAATATTAGCTTCGATGCGAAGCTGAGAAGTTATTGGTTTTACTATGATCTGTTTTTTTTTTGTGTCTGTGAACGTTCAATATTAGCTCTCGCTAGACCGATATGACTGAATTGTTAGAAAACATCTACCGTTTGCTATGTTTTGACTCCAATATATTCTACACATTTTCGTGTGACAGTTAGTTATTTTTGTGTACGCCAAACGAGTCAAATATTGTTCCTAGATTAACTAGTTCATAACATTCAATCAAGCACCTTTAGGACTTAATGTTATATTGATAACAATAATAATAATAATAGTTATTTAAAAACATAATAGTAAATACATAAATAATTTTAGTCACTTAAAATAGTATAATATTTATATTGTGATAATTTTTGTCTTGCATTTAAGCGCGACAGACCAAATCATGTAATGTAATGGGAAGAGAATATACAAAAACAGAAAGAACATAGAAGAATTAAGGAGTCGGTGGTTGAAAGAGGAGAAAGAAAAAGAGTTTTTAAAGACGGTCAAAAGAGAGGGAATTCGAGGGTGACATAAATAATGTGTCGAATAGATTTGCTAATTGTATAAAGAATACTGTGAAGGAGATTGTTGGTGTAGAATGACAGGAAACAAGGAAACCTGGTGGTGGGATGAAGACGTCTAGAAAATTATAGAGAGTAAGAATAAGCAGTTCAAAGTATGACAGAAAGGCAAAGGGAGATATTGGATGGAGTATAAACGTTTGTGCAAAGAAGCCAAAAATGCGGTATGTAAAGTGTAGTTCAAGAGGTACGATAAACTAGGAACAAAGAAAGGAAAACCCAACCTATCCTTTTAGGTGTAAAAACCTATTTTTGGTTTGACTACACGATATAAAAAATTGTTCTTATAATTTTTTTTTTTTTAACAATAAACCGTTTCCATGTTATAATTGTTTAATGATTTGAATTTAAAGAAGAAATTCATCGTATTTTAGTTTTTATTTAACTGAAGGCAACAATAATCTATTTCAATGAGCCATAAATTATTATCAGTATTTATCCTGCAATCGTAAGTGAAAGATATGATAACAAAAATTGTCAATAAAGAATCGTTTATGTCACATGACATGAAATGACTACAGTATGCTAAACAAAAAATCAATACAAAATAAGTCAAAAATAGTTAAAATAAAACAAGAAATATTAGACGAACAGTTCATCCAATAAAAAATATAAGAACAAAATTGTTTAAATGTTTTTTTTATTTTCTTCTATAATCCAAGAAAGAAAGAAATGATTTTCTGGTTAAAAAAAGTTTTTAACGTGCTATATTAAACATTTTAAAAGACAATGTCTTTCAATACAGAATGATAATTAAGGCAGAGCACTATTAGCCAGTGCTCCAACTACTAAACTAAGGACCTGTATGCGGATAATACCACTCTCGTCTTATCAAAATAATTTAAAAAATAGTGAAACCCCCTTTTAATGTATTGATATAGGACTCATGTGCCTATATTTATTTATGTGAGCTACTTTTACTTAAACGTGGAAAAAATAACAAATGCTTGAAGTTTTTTGTTTTTGCAATGAATTTTCGTCATAATTTGTGTTATAAATTAATTTAATAAAACACAATTACTAGAACTAAGAACTAAGTGTGTCTGCCTACTTAAAAAAATTATAACGGTGTAAAATTTAAATGAAATTGAATGTTTTTAGGGGAAGGAATGTGAACTCAAGCATTTTTTCATGAAAAGTTTTTTAGAAAACGTACAAAATTAAAAAAAAAAATTTCTCTTTAAGAATATTTTTTAAAGTTTTATGTAAAAAAAAATTAAAAAATGTCGAAAACTACTAATGTTTAAAATAGTATTTTTTTTTTGAGGATTTCCCCCATTTACAGAGAACGAAGGAAATTTTGATTTTTTCAACTAGTTACATTTTGATGAGTTTTTGACGTATCGTTGAAAGAAATCGGTTCTGTGAGAACTTAGAAAATGTTAACAGACACAAAAAAAAAAGTACATCATAGTATAATTAATACCTTCTTCTACCAGCTTCGCATTGAGACTAAAAGTAATGCAAAATATTCACTGAATAAAAATTTATTAAAATCGTCAAAACATTGTGAAACCACACTGTATGTATTTTGCTGAAAATGATACAGCCCTTATTAACTCTAATTTATGTTAAAAAATTAAGAAAAATATCGATAATAATCAATATCTTAGTGTAAGATATTATTAATTATAGATATTTAAAAACGCTATATCGGTTTTGAAATCAATTTACACATTTCTAGATACAAAATTAAAAAACGACATTTATTTTTGCTGGCTTAGTGGAGAATGCTAGGCTGCTAAAGCACCCCACTCCAGCACTTATCTATTGTATTAAAAAATATGTTCTTGCAAAACTGCAAAGCTAAACTCTAAAAAAATTATGGGAGCTAAAATTTATGTAACCAATCCGCTCTATAATCTCAAATACAGTCTTGATCTCATTCTTGAATAAAATTTTATTCACACTAAATAAGTATACGTACTTGTGAATTCAATCCCTGAAATGTGCTAACTGATGTATTCCTCTTTTGAATAAACCAGTATAATTAATATTTTTTTTCGTTGAGGTTACTCCTACTTTAACTCAAATCACGGTTCATGAAGCATAACCATGTTTTAATTTTACATTTGATTACAATGTAAATAGCTTTTTATCACATGACATAAAAGGATTATTTTATTTGAAGATTAGCTTGTAGCGGCTTCTTTAAATATTCATTTTTTAATAATTAATAATTATTGTTGAACTCTTGATCTTTTTTTAGTATCTACGTAAGTACACTACACATAATTATTTGAAATTATATTACCTTTTGTCATTAATATTAATTGCAAAAAGCAATTCTTTAAAACATAAATATAATATATTATGTTAAATTTAAGTATTAATAAACTTATAACTTGTATGGTTTTAGCCAATATTTTATTTTATTTTTTAATTTTAATTTCTTGGAATCATTCATTTTCTCTCAGTTATTTGTATTAGCTTCGAATAATAATTAAATTACAGACTTTTTTTTTTAAGGTTCCTATACTAAAATTATTATGAGCAAACGTAGAGCTGGTACAGAACTTACAAGAGACAATTGGGATGAAGAAGAAGAGAAAATTGAAGTAGGAACATTCCAAGTTGCTGATGAATCAGTATTAAAAAATAGAATAGTTAAAAGAGCAAAAAGAACTCTCAAACGTGATGAATCAGGAGAACCCAAATCCATATTTTCTGGTTTTTCTGGTTTTGGAAATTTAGGAAATAACACAAAACAAGCATTTTCATTTTTGTCAAATTGCAATAAAAAATCGGATATACCTAACTCAAATGGAAATCATCCACTTGCATCTACTACAAATTCAATGACTATGTCTAGTAGTTTGAAATTTTCTGAAAATGAGAGCACAAAAAGTTCAAATCCAACTTTGGTTGATCCTGTTAAAGTGATGAAACTAAATGAAGCTTTTGTTAAATTTATTACAAATGCTGTACAAAAAAATCCATATTGTGTATTGACACCTACATTAAAAGATTATGAAAAACAAATAAGTAAATTTGTTGCTTTTAATGAAGTAAAATCAAATACAACTAATACTTCATCCGGTAAGTATTTTTTATCATCTTACGAGATATAATTTTCAACATCAAAAGATTAACAAAACATATTATTGAAAGTAAATTTACTTAAAAAAAAAATCTACATCAATGTATTAATTTAAATAAGTGTATTTTGTCTTTTGTTTCCTTATAATCAGTAATCTAAGTTAATATATTAAGCAAAATGATAAAATTCATTACGTATTATGCATGAAATGGGTTGTTGAACTTTTTTGAATATAAAAAACATTTATCTTAAGTTATGATTGAACATTAAAAATATACGTATCTTTAAATACAGTAGTGGTGAAAACTATAAGACACCTCCAAATTTTATATTTCATAGTTTAAATGAATACACAATCGTAAACTTTTAAATCATCAAATAAATACATGAAACTTTTTTTTAACATAATGTATTCTTTAATTTAAAAGAAAATTGCTTATTTTGCATTATTTCCATTTGCAACTAACATCCAACCGCTTAACTTTTTTTTCTACATGTTATTTGGATAATTAAGTTTGATGAAAATTATTTTCAAGTTGATCCAGTTAAAAATATTCAAACCACAAGCAAATAATGAAAATATTTGAGCTACGTAAATAAGATATTTTTGGTTTTTTTTTAAATTCACTGTCAAATAAGTTTATATTTTCAATATGCTAGGTAAAAGTCACATGAAAATGTATATCTTATGTTGTTTCAAATAATTTTTGAATGCATTATATAAAGAAAAAGTTTCATGCATATACTTGATGGTTTAAATGTTTACAATTGCGTACAAGTCCAAAATCTAAACGCATGAATTATAAAATTTGGGGGTGCCTTATAATTTTGGCTATTACTATAATTTAACCTAGCTAGCTTAATTTAGAATCAGTAGCATATTCAGACTTTTTTTATTGGATGTGGTTATTATTTCAAAATTTTATGTTGATTTTTTAGACAAATTTTATTTTTAGTATTTCGTAATTAACTAAATTTTTTTTTGTCTTTTCATGTTTGTTTTTATATTTGAGCTCCATTTTATTCAATATTTTGTTTAACTATTGAAAGATTCTTTTTTTTTTATTTCAGAATCACCACAAATTTCAACATCAGAAAATACTTTTAAAAATACTAAAGATTCAGAAGAAATGAAAAAAAGTTTTGATAATGCTCCTACAACAGCTAATAACTTTATAAATTCTAATAGCAATACTAAAAGTTCTGGTTTTTCATTTAATTTTGAAAATAATATTAATTCTACTATTGTTTCCAAAAAAGAAGATTCTAATAAAGAAACTAAAAAAGAAAAAGAAAAAATTGAGACTGATACTAAAATTGAGCCTTTGGGCAATTTAAAAAATACTTCATCGATCTTTAGCGGGTTAAAATCAAATGACTCAAAATTAATTTCTCAACCTTTCTCTTTTTCTACAAAAACTCCAAACTTTGAAGCTAATAAAATGCCTCCCTCAATAAATGATAATGAAACTAAACAAAATACTCCTTCATTTAATTTTGGTTCAAATGTACCTCAATTTTCATTAAATGCAACAGATAAAAATAATAGCAAACCATTCTTTAGTTTTGGAGAAAAATCTGTTGCAGCTCCATCTAATATAGATTTATCTAAAAACTCAACTGATTCATTTCAACCAGCACAAATAGAAAATGATGAAGATCAACCTCCAGTAGTGAATTTTACACCAATTAAAGAAAATGATGCCATTTTTGAATCTAAAAGTAAACTATATGTATTAAAAGATGGAAAGTATGAAGAACTTGGAATTGGCCAATTGTATTTGAAAAAAGTAGACAACAAAAAAATTCAATTAATAATGAGAAATGATAGTGCATTAGGAACTATAATGGCTAATACTCTATTGAATGATACAGTTAATTTCGTTAAGCGAAATTCAAAAAATATTCAGTTGATTTGTATCTTAGACCCTACTAAAAATACAAAACCCCAAACTGTTTTATTTAAATTTAAAGACTCGCAAGATACAGATTTATTTGAAAATGAATTATCTAAACTCAAAAACTAAATTTAATCAATTCTTTAATAATATTTTTTTTTTTACCTCAAGACATTTTATGATTAAAATATACTTGTTGTCATTTGTATTATTTCATAATTTTACATATTATTTCATAATATCTAAAAATATTTTATTTAATTAAAAACACAATTAAAAATTTTAAATAATAATTTTTATTTTATTTTCTATCCACCATGCAATGTAGAAATAAATGTAATATTATCATTAGTCTTAATTTGATAATCCAAATTTCCCAAGAGTTCCCAATCTTGATCATTTATTGCTACAATTATGCCTGGTCTCACAGTATTTCCCTTGATAAATAAATTGCATTTTTCTTTATCTGCCAATAAGTTGTCTTTTATCCAAAATAATAATGATCCTAGTGTCCAATGTTCCTTTATTGGTAATATGACGTTATGTTTCTTCACATTATTAAAAAGTGTTTGTAGACCACTAGTAAACTCAACAGTAATATTAAGATTATTTTCTGTATTGGCCATAATGCAAAAATAAATTAATAATGTAAACTATTTAAAATAACTCAAATATTAAAGTACTCTAGATGAATCCTTACTAAATTTTCGAGAAAACTTAAATTTTTAAAAAATAAACTATTATAGAGCATAAAGTGAAACGCTTTTGAAATCTGTTATATTTTGTGTTCAAAATAAACTAATTCATTTCGAATCTTTAAATAATACGCTACTTTAAATGTTCACAGATAATAAAAAGTGAACTGTTAAAACTCAATACTCGGCTATTAACTATCGTAATTACTTATCAAAATAAAAATGTTATTCTTTGACTTGAGTCATAATCAGTATCATTATCATTTTTTTACCTTTTTGTGATATCTCTTGTGCCAAAATTTAAATGATAAATTAGATTGAGATGCTTTAATCGTAGACATGAAAACATTGAATGTTATATATTTAAGTATGTGATAATCCTTATCGTATTAACTGTTTAATTTTTTGAATAATTTAGAATGAATTAAATTACAGATTATACGTTACATTACTACTAAAAATGGGTCCCATTCCTGTCGATCGAATTATAAGTATAAGTAGTGAAGATCAGGTAAGCTGTTAACACTTATTTCAGAATCAATTGCTTAATTTATAAAAGATTTGATTTCACCCCTATTTTTATTAAATAACCAGTTTCCTCAAAATATTTGAGTACACTACTAAATTAGTTTTTTAAGTACATTTATTTATTTTACAACTTTCAAATATTTTAGAAATGAGGATTTTTTATGCAATATAATAAATAAAGTGTTAAATGATTATTAAATCATTTTTATTTATTTATCTATTTTTGTTGTAACTTTTAAGAATCATAAAGCAGAAAATATATTAAATTGCAAAGATTCACATAAAACTTGGAGATGTAAATCAGGTGAAAAAAATGCCACAATAATTTTACAATTTCTTAAACCATCAATTATCAATTCAGTCGATGTTGGAAATGATAATTCAGCATTTATTGAAATTTTTGTTGGAAACTCTATGTCAGATGATTTTCAAGTAAATATAAATAATTAAAATAATAGAAAAACTATTTGTTAAGTAAAAAAATATTAATTTTGACTTCAGCTTCTACTTGCCACATCTTCATTAATGTCTTTACACGACTGTAAAAATAATTTAAATGTTAACAAAGTTCGATTTTTTGGCGCTAATCAACTGACTTCATTGTGTAAAGAATCATGGGATAGAATAAAGATTGTATGTTCTCAACCATACATAAAGCTAGTGAATTATGGACTTTCATTTGTGACATTTCATTCCAAAGACAAGCCTGAGAAACCACCAAAAGAATCTAATTTGTGCAAAACAATCCAATTAGGATCATTTACTTTAAAGAGTGATGATGACAATGGTGATGATATAACATTAGCAGGACGACTTTTTGCTAAGCGAAATGAAGTTAAACCTATTGTAAAAATACCTGAATCTCCTGTAAGCCGTTTACTTTCATCAGCAAAAAAAAAAATTAATATACTTGATCCTCAAAAATGTACAACTAAAAATAGCTCAATAGAAAATTCTAAGCCTATTAAAAAACAAACAGATATTTCAAAACAAAATTTGATCGTACAATCATCTACTCATGACAAAGGTAATATTCAACAATAAATGAAACCTAAGTATAACTATTGTTGTTCTTGTTGTTATTACTAATGAAACTCTTATTTCAGTGATCAAAAAAGCAGAAAATTCACCCAACTTGATATCTGGTATACCTAAAAAAAGAATTAAAGTATCAAACAATCCATTACCTTCAAAAAAAAAATTTGGTAAATTGTTAGAAAATGTTGTATTTACAATGAGTGGTTATGAAAATCCATATCGCAGTAATGTACGAGATAAAGCATCTGAAATGGGTGCTAAGTATAAAACTAATTGGGATTTATCTTGTACTCATTTAATGTTAGTATTATCATATTTTATCATAAAAAAAATAAAAAATAATGTACTTATGTAAATTTGTTTTGCTTAAAATCAACAGTTAACTTATAAAAATACATTTTTTAGATGCGCTTTTATTAATACACCAAAATACAAAGAAGCTAAAGTAAATGGTTGTCGATATATTGTTAAAAGTGAGTGGATTGATAAATGCCATGCAAACAAATGCCGTTACCCATGGAGAAGGTAATACTAGTTTTATGAATAATTTTTTCAAATTTATTATTAAATTTTAAAGCTTACGTTCTTTTAGATTTGCCTTAGATAAATTGGAACAAAATAAACCTGAAAGTGAAGATGAAATTCACGAACTAGTTGACAAAGAAGGAGATAAAAATGATGAGTGGGAAACTGAATCTCTAAGGTGAATATGAAAAATTTCTTAGTTGTTAGATTTTCAATATAATAAATATTTTACCAACATTGAAGACAATTACCATCAACTTCTCAAGACGGAATACTAGACAACATATATGATGCTGATACAGATATTGATTCTGATTCAGATATTCCAATTGATATTTTATTGGATAAAAGTAACATAGCATTACCACAATTGGATAATACTTTTAATAACTGTTCATTTTATTTATCGCCATGCTTGAATTCATTGCAAAAAAAGGAATGTAGTCGTTATATTATTGCACTTAACGGGTAACTAAATAAAAAAAAAGTACATAATTACTATTAACTTAACCTATTTGTTTATTTTAAATAAGATGATTAATAATATAATTCACTTTTATTCATTTTACCCAATTATTCTTTAATTGTGTATTTGTAAATATTTTTGATATTTATGAAAACAGTATAGTCAAATTTATACGTGAAAATAATTGATACATAATCATAACATTTTTAATGACAGAAAGATGTTTTGTTATTTATGTTTTATAAATTAATATATCATATTAATCCTATGTTTATCCTTAAAAATTCTATAAAAAAAAATTTCATTTTACTAAATTTTTTTTAATAGATATAATGTTTTTTTATATAAATGTATATTATGTGATATTTTGTTTTATTTTTAGTAATATAAGTTCAATGGATGAAAGTGACTATATTGTTTCAACAGATTCAAATAAGTTACAGGTTTGTTGACTTTTAAATAAAATTAATAATATTAAAACTGTAATATTGTTGTTTTATGAAGAATCAATGGGAAATTTGAAAAAAAAATGAACACAAAATATTATCTTATATATTACCTATTGACTAATGTTGATATAAATAATGTTTATAAAGTAATAATTATTATTAAGTAAAATTATTGTAAAAACAATATAATTGCAAAATTAAATATTAATTTAGTCAAAATACAGAGAAGAGTACTGAAATAACCAATTTTAAAATTGTATTTTTCAAATAAAAATGTATTATTGATATATTAAAATAAAAAGCAAATATCATGCCATTAAATATTGTATAATCATTTTTTTTTAAGATGTCCACACTTCTTAAAAATTCCTACTTTCACATACTCTTTTTTAATATAAATCTTATATTGAACTTAGTAATAGATAGAATACAGGTTAAGGCATATTTTTTTCCTAAACTACTATAAAATTAAGTTAAATTTTAGCTTGTTACACCTAAGTAGCTAAAAAATTAAGTTCATTTTTTGATTTTGATATTGAAAATAGAAATTGATATGAATAATGATTATTTAAGTAATTTTTTGCCCCTTTAAATTTACATTTAATAATATGGATTTTTTTTCTCAAATTTGTTTATAAATCTTCAAAATTTTTATTCATAGAGATTTTTTTTTTTCATTAAAAAAATTAAAATAGAAGTTTGAAAAAGTTCTTCTGGAATTTGGAAGATTGGAAGGTGTGAAGCATTCTTAAAAATGATCATAAAATATTATATAGTATGTTATTAGCTTTATTTTAATACATCAATAATTATAATTAATTATCATTCATTTTTTCATTTCTATAAAGAATTTTTAAAATTGTAAATTACAGTGCCCCACCTAAAAATAATAAAGATAATAAATAAATCACTAAACCACTTGATTTCTCCTAAAATAATCATATTTTAATTTTGTTTATTATAATTTATTTCTCAATTTAAGTGGTTAAATAATTTTTTTCTATGTCTAATCCTTTAAAAGGGTACCGACCTTACATAAGCCTCAATGCGAAACTGAAAAAATATTGATTTTACTATGATATATTTTTTTTTTATGTCTGTCGCCACCTTTTGTTAGCCCTCCTAACCAATTTCTTTCAACGATACATCAAAAGATCATAGAACGTATCTAGTTGAAGACATTAACCTTAAATATTGAAAAAAATTTTCCTTACTCATTGTAAATGGGAGAAATCTCCAAAATATTTACAATTTTTAAAATTGGTGAATTTAAAATTTTTTTTCTTAAAACTGCCATATCTATTTAAAAAATGAACAATTCAAAAAAAAAAAAATTTAATATAGAAACCTTACTTATTTCCTTTTTTTTATATCAGTTTTTTGAAAACCTTACTATTTACCTGCCTACAAGGGGTAATTCAAAATAGCACTTTTTCACAAAAGTCAACTTTATCAACTTAACTTTTGAAAATGTTCTGGAAGTACTACGTCCTAGAAACATATGTTAAATTATAATTTATGTTACGTACTATAAATTAAAAAAAAATTTATCCCGACGACAATTGAAGTTGAACGAATTTATTAAATATGTAATAATAAATAAATATTTATTTATATATTACACTTATACAAGGTGAATTTTTTATCATAACCCACTCAATTACTTGTAGAATATATATAATTTAAACTTTTTTTTTTTTATTTTCTTTAGTTAAACATTATTCTTAAATTATTAACTATTTAAAACTTTTTATGTTCATCCCTTATGCCTTGTAAGGGTGTCAACTTTGTTTTTTTAAATGGGAACACATATTTTTAATTTAATAAAATGTTTGGACCAATTATTTTCTTAGTTAGATTGATTTCTATTATATGAACTAGTTAAATTTGTATGTTGTCATTTAAAATATTAAAGTTGGTACCCTTAGTAGGAATAATGGATAAACCTAAAAAATATTTAACCACTCGAAAATCGATAAATAAATAATACTTAAATAAATACATCCAAACAAAAATTTTACTAAAATGTTATTACTTTTAAAAGAAATCTAGTGCACAACAATTAATTAATCATTCTATTTAAATACTGGATATTTTAGGATAAATGATAACTTTTATAAACTTATTGATCAACCTCTGAGACTAATTTGTTTAATACTATTTTTTATATTATTGGACTAGTTTTAAAACGGTTTTATTATTTGTATTATTATAATAATTGTACACTTTAGTGTATTATCCTTCAATACATCATCTTTATTTCAAGTAATTAAATAAATACGAATTAATTTTTTTTCAGTTTAAGGTACCTGTGGTTTCGCCTCAATGGATTTGGGATTGTTATGATGCCAAAAAAAAGCTTCCAACATAATCAAAAATAGAAACTCAATTCAATTAATTATAAAATATTCAAAATATATAATAAAATATTCTTATAATAAAATATGTTCTCTAACTTTTATTTTTTATGTAGTTTATAATTTCTGTAAAAAGGTAAGATCCTTGAAAATGTAATTAACTTCAAGTTAAACTGGTTCATTGAAAAATTAAACTTTCTCTCCTCTCAACAAAACGACTTCAGAAACTATAGAGGTACATATGATTGCTTACACACTATCCATAATGAAATTAATAACTCAATACACAATAAAAAATCAAGAGGAATGATAAGTTTGGACATAGCAAAAACCTACAATACAACATGAAGACCCAAAATAGTAAATATATTATTTATATTTCTATGCGATGGAAACATTCTCAAAAACTTAGCTAATTTTTTAGCTAACTTACATATTTTCAATTAAATAACAGTGCATCGAGAAAAAAAATACCATACAAGTTTATCGTCACTCTATTTAAATACTAAACACACAATAAGACTATATTTCACCTATATTATCGATGTAACTTTGAACAAAACTCGCGAAATAAAAATATATCACATTATCTGTGGGTTTCCTCGTTATGTAACCGTTTAAACTAAAAATAAACTACATCAAAGGACTCACACTAAAATTACAATACAAATTTATAGGTGACACTAAAGTGAATTTTTTTCCAACTTTGAACCCAAAGTTCAGGGGAGAACGTGAAATTTACAAAAAATCCCAATTTTGAAGATAAGAAATTTTAGTTTTTGATTTCGCTATTTTTAGATCCTACTGATTATCAATTTACTACTCGTGACATTGATTATACTAACACTCTGTATAAATATCTTCTGCTCAGGTAAGAGTTTGTCAACCATTCAATCATACCTCCAAGACACCAAAAATTAATTAGAAGAATGGTCTGAAATATCTGGGGTCTCCTTCTCTGTTACTAAATCCAAATGTATCTTATTTACAAAAAAAAATAAAATATAACCAATTTAATATTAATCTCTATAACATCGAAATTCCCAACTGTAAAGTAATAAAAAACTTTGGAAATACATTCGACCACAAATGCAAATGGAAGCAACATATGAGTAATCTAAAAAAAGAATGTGTAACTAAACTCAACCTATTCAAATCTATTGCACACATTCAATGGGCGCTTCGTTGAGAACAATACTTACCATTTATAAATCACTTATTCTTTCTAAATTAGAGTATGCATCCTTTGTCTTCTGCAATACCTCTTCTAATACAATCAACTCACTTGATACTATATACAGTGCTAGCATACGTTATGCTCTAGGATCTTTCAAATCAAGCCCTATAGTAAATATATGTAATATATCTGGCATTCCCCCCTTAAAACTATAAAAACAGGTAACACATTAAAATTTGACGCTCAACTAAAAACTAATGATATATTTACTCATAGTTAAATTTAAAAAACTATGGAAGAAAATAACATCAATACAACAGAAGAAATGATCCCTAGGACATTTTGAATATTCCCAGATATATTAAATATCAACTATGAACTTCACCATTTGCCCTAACTCTCAACTCCTTAAATAATTTACAATAAATTTAAAAAAACTTATGAACAATTACAAAAACTGGAACAAATTATACACTGATGCATCTAAGATGGAAAAACGCAGACACTAAGTTTTCATTGACAGGCTCAAAATTGAACACACGCATCTAACTCATGGATATTTAATAAACAACAGTATTCCACTAATATGCGAGATTTGTGAGAGTCACTAACTGTCAAACATATTCTCACAAATTGTCATAAGTATGAACATCAAAGAGAGGCACATGATTGGGAGAGGTATCCCCCAATCTCTGAAACAAGATCTTAACTGTATGAAAGATGACAAAATTCCTCAAGGCTACCGAACTATTTAACTTAATATAATATCTGTATAACTTATGTGCTAGTGATTAATTTTTTTCACTCTCTTTGTTAATCTAATCTAATTATTTTACACATTACAATTACACTTGATATGCATGTAATCACGGCCAATGGCCTTTGTTGCTGCAGCCTTTATTTCAAATTAAAAAAAACACATATTTCTGTAAAAGTGACTTGAAAAAATAATTTTGGTTGTTGAGCATAATATAAACAGATTACAAAATTCACTCTAAAATTGTCCCTGGAGGCAATAACAGTTAAAATAAGAACGATCCATGCGACGGCAAGGACTCTCGAACAGAGCGATATGCTCTATTATATGTATTTTTATAAAATAAAAACACTTTTATTTTCGCTTATTACTTCGAAAAAAGGTCATACATTTTTTCATACAAAAAGTCAAAATAATTCTAGTATCAGATGTTGAAAAACCTAAAGCCATCGCTGCTCATAGGCTTCATATATCTAAATCGGCTCCGTAAATTTATATTTTTAGAACAATAAAATTATAATGAATTGATAAGAAAATAAATTAATAACGCAATTACTACTTATTTAAATATATAAAAAAAAAAACCCAGCACAGTGGAGTCGCGGCATAGTGGGGACGTTGCATAGTTGGGTCCACTATAGATTTAATCTGACAGTGATTAAAATCACTATCATAAGAAACGCTTCGATGCAAATCAGTAGATAGTGTTTAATTCTAAGAAATTGGTGGATAATTACAAAAGCTGCATGATCTGCTAGTTCCTTATTAATACCCTGATTAAGATAAAGAATGTCGAATGAAAAAGGGATTATTAAAAAATATTATTTCTCATAAAAAAATTGTGTTGATTCATACATTTTTCAATGAGTTGTAGCATTATAAAGTTAAAAATGTAACCAACCCAACCCAACATCAACTCCTATTTCCATAATTATATCCAGATTAGTAATTCGTTTAATTATCTATTATATAATTTTTATAATTAATTATTTTCAAATTATTATCGATTTTTAATATATTAAAAGTAATCATTTTGAACCAACTTCTTTTTGTCCTTTAAAGTGAAAGTTTAAAAAAAAAAAATATGAATTTATTACCATAACTTTTAACTCAACTTGCAAGTTTGAAATAGATATCATTAAATAGAAAAAAATGAAATTGGTAGAGTATTTCAAAAACAACAATAACACTTATTCCCTTAATTTTACCCCGATTTATAATTATAATATATGAATACATAATAATTACAGTAATTAAATTGAGTATGAAAGTGGTATTCAATAATATAATATTGTAATTTTTACGGAGATATTATAAAAATAAAAAGGAGTTGTATATTCATATACTTTTAATGCGTATACAAATTTAAAGGAATTGATGCAATACTTTTTAATAAAAAAATTTTGTTATTTATGAATAAATACACTAAACAAAAGGAACTTTCATCAGAAAAAAAAATATACTTTTCTAAATAAACTTTTCGCGATGTTTTCAAATGTGCAATTAAACTTTTTTTATTACTTCTAAGTTTTAATATTATTACTTATTATTAAAAAATAAGTATTTACATATAAAAAAAAATAATTAAGAACAAAAAAAATTGTATTAAATTAATACTGATTTTGATTTTTAATATGTTAAAGGTAATCATTTTGAACCTATTTTTTATTGTCTTTTAAAGTGAAAGTTTTAATGAAAAATACCTTCTCAGCTTCGCATCGAAGCTAAAAAATGAATTTGTTACCATAACTTATAGTTCAACTTGCAAGTTTGAAATTGACATTATTAAATTGAAAAAAATGAAATTTTTAAGATTAATATGCAATCTGGAAATTTTATAATTACTAATTACAGTACATTTGTCAGAAAAATTCGATTTTTTTACATTTTTATCGTAATAGATAACTGAAATAGAAAGAATAGTAATCATATCCTAATAACTTTTGGTGTTTAAAAAAATTCTGCAATTGAAATATTCAGAACTTAATTAATTTTAATAATTTACTTTAATTAAATGAACCAATCAAACCAAAGTAGTTAAAAAGATTTACTCAATTGAGCATATTATCAAAAATATAATTATAATTGTAAAACTCCATCGTTAACTTCAGGTGAAACTAAAAATCATTTTTTTTTTAAATTTATGATTTATATAGCAACATATTACTAAAAAATTTGGCATATTATAGACTGGTAGTAGCACACAGAAATAGAGTTAAAAAATTAATAAATTATAAAGTAAAATTATTTACTTTTGTAGTTGAATACTTTTATCATATCAAATTTAATTCGACAATAAATAATTTAAGAATATTAAAAATTAATGATTTTAATTGTTTGTATGGACAAATCTAGTTAAGCTACTTTTTATTTGAATAAGGAATATTTTTTTGATTTTTAAGAGTAATAACTTAAACTAATCATTAACTTAAATATCATAAACTTAAATGAATCATTTGACGTATCGTTGAAAAAAGTAGGTCTAGTGAGGGTTGGCAAAATAAATCGTAGCCAGAAAAAGAACCACATAGTAAAATAATATTAACATGAATATCAATTTCTTCTCACGAGGGGAGACTATAGTGATAAGATCCTTTATATTTATTGAAATTATTGAATCTAAATGAGATAAATATCAAATGATTTGAAAATTCTATTCTAACTCAAAAAAAAAATGCAAAATTTTAGAAGCCACAAACGGATTTGAACCTCGTACCCTAGGCGTTAAAGATCAAGGTGTTACCCATTCGGCAACTATTCGTTGATTTTTGTTGCATGATAAAATTGGCTATTTAAGCTAACTCAAATTTAAAAATTACTTTTTCGACTTTAAAAAAGTAAAAAATGTTAATAAGTATAATATCATATGTCTTATGAACTTTATTCTATGTCAATGAAATTATATAATATTCATGAAAGTCAGTTTATTCCCCTAATAAAATATTTTAAAATAAAATAAAATACAAAACCTAGAATTTTAATAAAAAATAGCATATTTTTAAATACGGTAGCCTTTTGCGCATAGAAGATAGGTCGTCGGGACAAATTTTTTTTTTTCATTTAGTAGTACATAAAATAAGCTTTAATTTGATATATGTTTAAAGGACGCAGTATTTCCGGAACATTTTCAAAAATTAAGTTGAAAAAGTTAGTTTTTGTAAAAAAGTTGCTATTTTAAATCCCCCCTGTGAGCAGAATAAGTGTTAGATTTTCAAAAAAAAATGATATCAAATGAAAGAAAATTACCTAAGGTTTCAATATAAAGAAATATTATTTTGATTAGTTAATATTTGAAAAAGTTATGGCAGTTTTAAGTACAAAAAACATCGTTATAAAAGGTGATTTTTATCGCAAATATTACATTTTTTTTATAATTTCGACAGCCATTTGCACATAGAAGATAAGGTGTCGGGACAAATTTTTTTTTTTCATTTTATAGTACATAAAAAAAGCTTTAATTTGATATATGTTTAAAGGACGCAGTATTTCCGGAACATTTTCAAAAGTTCAGTTGAAAAAGTTCTATTTTTTATACAATGTTTCAAAGTTTGAACCCCCCCTATATAAGGGGAAATTGTCTAATTTTAATAAAAAGTATGTCAAATGGAAGATGTACTTATAATGTATTTAGAAAAAAAAAAATTGTGCTGATACATGCATTTTTCGAAAAATTATAGCATTTTTAAGTTGAAAATTAAAAATCGAAAATCGAAAATTTTAACACAAAAATAGTGTTGTTTTAACTACGGCAACCGTATACATGCAGAAGATAAAGTGTCGTGACAAATTTTTTTTTTTCATTTTATAGTACATAAAATAAGCTTTAATTTGATATATGTTTAAAGGACGCAGTATTTCCGGAACATTTTCAAAA